AACTTCACTCAAAAGGTATTTTCACTATAACCAGTATAAGGTTTAGGATCTGAATCCATTGATGGCTTCAGTCTGCTGGAGACTAATGCGGTCAGGTTTTCCTGCAGTAGTTTGTGTCTCCACCCCTACTGTACTACCATTACAATGGTGTCACTCAGCTGGACTCAACAATTGTTCAGTATTTATACACATCTGAGTGGTGCGATACTGCTATCTAATCTTGTAATGATTGCCAAAGTTGGGCAAGACTGTGTGTTTTGGTGGGTATAGTTTACCAATTCAATCTTTAAAGCAAAACCCAGACAAAAATGCAAAACAAAACAGGCGATGAAAAGGTTACCTAAAAAAAAAAACCAGCTTTTGCTGCAATACTCACATTCAATCCAGAGCTGTCACCAGCAATACTTTATTTATACCACTGGATGTCCTCAGTCTTCCAGGTTGAATGACGGCCAGCATCATTTAATATGCTCACTCATAGCTCAGGTCACAGACCTGCCTCCAGTCTGACTGGTCAGTGAAGGAGAAGCAGCACAATGATGCACTCATCTCCCTGTTACTCTTCTTTCTCCTCCTATCAGCATGCTTCTTGCTAGCACATTAACTAATTGGCTTCTTGTGCTGCTTCTTTCTCTCCCGTGCTGAGCTCTGCTGTACAGGGACTGCTAATTCAGGTACTTACACTGCTTGCATTTAAAAACGACTATAAAAAATACAAAAAATGATTGCAATAATAAAGAATGCAAACATATATATATAGCATGTCATAGTCAGGACAGTGAGATAGAGTATTACTCTACATGCAGTGTCATTACTCAGAGTACAGTGTGTTTTTGATGTATATTAAGAAAAAACTAATCATAAAAAAGGAAAAAATAAGCAATTACAGACACCTTATACAATATAAAAAAATACATTTAATAATGTAATAATTATTACAGAGCTGTATTATTGTGTATGTTTTATATCTACCTGGAGTTCAGCAGTGATTTCAAGTGCTATTAACTAGACATGTGCGATTCGTTTCGTTCCGAATCGCAATTCGGACGAAATTTTGGAAATTCGGAGATTCCGAATTCAGAATTACAGATATAACAAATGCAAATGAATCCGAATTTCCGATTCCGAAATTTGCTAGTGGTAGTCTGTACGAAATTTTGTTTGTTGGACGAAATTTCGTTGCAGCAAAGTGACATTTGAGAAAAAAAAAACACCTTTTTTTCCCCTCTTAAATGTCACTTTGTTGCAACGAAGGAACGAACGAAAAAACAAAAACCAAATGAAATTGAAACGAACATTTGTACAGATTACCGCTAACGAATTTAGTCCGAATCCGAATGTCGAAACGAATTGACTTTCGGACCCGAATCCCGAAAAACTAAATAACGCGAAATCCGAATCAAAGCGAAACAAAACACATTTTTTGCTGGTGCACATGTCTACTATTAACCCTGTTTTCTTTGTTGAATTACAGCAGCTGACATCAAGATATACATTACACCACTTGAGTGTGGTGTGGACGTTAATGAGTCCCCTCCTGAGTCCGGTTGATACGGGCCTCAGACTCTGGGATTTATATTGGCTATCGCCATGTATCATTGTCGGACCTCACTAACTTTACAGATCATTTGTAATGATTACATATTCCCTGTCTTTGTATCTTTGTGTCTCTTGACATCTTCGTGTATATTTCATATACCCTGTCACAAAAGAAAGAATTTATTAAAAAAAGATATACATTACAGTTACATTCCTGCATGTTTGAAATGTTTCCTTTCTTGATGTTTCACCCAGTCCCCTTACAGCATGCCAGGTATAATGGTGGCTCCTTGGCTAGCAGGGTTCTTGGAATCACCTTTTTTGTGTAAGCTGCCGATGACATGTCGGCATGAGAACGCTGCCTACGCCAACACGCACAGGTAGCCTAAGGGGACACATGGAAGACACGGCTCCTAATCAAAGGGAAGGTCGCTGAGAAGCATTTACCTTGAAGGAGAAGTAGAAGGGAGTCTTCTTTGTGGTGTCTTGTCAAGCTACCTGTATGCGTCAGCCTTGACATCTGCCTAATTTCACAAACAGCAGGTTAGGCATGTGCTGCGTCATGAATGATGAGATATGTAGTCTCTTAAGTATTTGATCAGGTGACTGGGAAGGATGAGCACATGCCCCCGACCACAAGTTTAGGGAAGTGGCACAATGGAAGCCAGAGGTTGTGCCAGAAAAAGAGAAAAATGTTCCCGAACGTTACTGAGCAGAATGGATTGTTGACTTGTCCTGTGCTATATTAATCAATACCAAGTTGTTCTTTTAAAAAAAGACATGCATGTAGGACTACTTTAACTTACAAGCAAACATGCAAAACTAAAATATCAGTTTTATGTGGTGTTGACCTTGAAGGGGCCAACATTTGTTGGTAAAGAAACAATGCTCTGCTAAAGGCCCCATGTGAGCCTGGCATGTAAGCTTTAGTGTGCAGCAAGCAATCCCAAACATAGGCTGTCAGACATCTAGACTTTGCTCTTCTTTGGGGAATCATAAGATATTTTCCACTGCACGGATCATCTGACGTAAAAGACACTAATATTTACAAACAGGAATAACCATGTTGATGTCAAGGGAAAGAAAACCAACAGAATGAGATAACTATTGCCAGATGTTATTTTGTGCCCCATCTTATTAACCTATGTATACACTAAAGGGTCAAAGTGCTGCACAATAGAAATGACAGCACAAATCTATGAGGTGCTCATCTGACAAGTACTGTGTGATGGACGTGCAAGTCAGGTTTAACAGGATCTTCGGAAGGGTTAATGAGTAGAAGCCCTAGTTCTTCAGAGATGTCTACGGAAACCCATACAACCAGAAATTGCCTTTGGGCTGCTGTACACGGGTTTATGTTCGAGTCAGAACTGTTTTTCTCCCCATACAATTCAGAACTCCCATTGATTTGACGTCAGTAAACTGAACTCTGTCTGGTTGTTGTGGTTTACTGCACTTTGCTCTTCATTTAGTTCCTTAAGCTGGCCACAGGCTAGTCGAGTTCTGCTACCTTTGCATAAATTCGACAAGTGGGTGACCCTATCAGTCCCCCCTCGCTTGAAAACAGCCAATTTTTCAATCAACGTTTGTCGAAGGAGACAGTCCAGAAATGTTCAGCCAAACAGTGCCTGCATCTAATCAAATGCAGGCACTGCCCGGGTATCCAGCAGCTCCCGGCAGTGAGGATTCCCCTATTCACATTGTTTTCTGTGGATAGAGGAATCTGTTAGATTTTTGTTGTTCATCTTCCAAACAAACTATTAGTGTAAGGCCAGCTTAACGTTTAGAAATGCTTTAGAAATCAGAAAAAGTGCAAGCTAGATTGCAAAGCCTACTGTTGTACACTGCATCTGAAATGTTAGGTTACCCTTTTATAGAAATTCAGTTTATTGCCTGTAGGATTGAAAAATAGTCCAATGTAACAGGAAATCTGTCCAGTCAGTATTTTGTATGCCAGGATCCTGTTGAATCGAGTAATAATTAATAGGGAGTGGCCTAAAGGATTATGCCTGATAGGGAGTTACCTTTTGTATCAAACACAGTAGTACAGACTATAAACAATCTTTATAATAGCCGTTTTCCCTTCATTGTTAGTACATGTCTGCTTACCCTAAGCAGCTGACAACAAGCTCGCAATACTCTCTACAAACTACATCATTTATACACAGCAATCAAATGGCATGTCACAACTAAGCATTACAGGTAAAAGTAAGACAAATGTATCAAATGCATTACAGCACTAGTTTATTATTAATAAATATATGTGACAGAAATGACTGCAACAAATAATTCCAGGTTTTGGCTTTATTGATCATGTTTGTTAAAAACTTTTTTTCTAATTGCCTATAGGTAATGATCTCACTACTCGACTTCAAATTAATTAATAGAGAGGAACAGTAAACACAATCAGTGTGTAGCACTACTAAGCAGAAAGCACAGCAAGTAATGATAATGAGCACATATGGCTGCTACAATATATATATAAATATACATATATATATACACACACACACACACACACTATATATTATTAAATACTTAAAAAAAAAAAAAATAACACACACATTTCTAAGGTTATTTACATTAAGCTGCTTGCAGTTAAAGACCACAAAATCCTTTTAGGTTGAATCTCTATGGTATGCAAAAAGAGAGCATTCCCTCTGCCAGGTCCAGTGCCCATGTGCAAACAACCTTAATGGCAAAATGGCAATTTATGAAAAGATTTGGGGGTCTATTCACAAAAGGGTGAAGAGTTTGGAGAAGGCAGGAGAATTGAACAATCTAGAACAACATAGCTGAACTGGAAAGTGAGCTGAATTGGAGGATTTTTCCAAATCAGCGATGTTGTCCTAGATTGTTCACTTCTCCTGCCGTCCCAAAACTCTTCACCCTTTTGTGAATAGACCCCTTAATCTGCTTGTATAACATAGTCCAAGAGTGCACTGTGTCTTTACTATCTATAAGTGCATCACATTATATTCCCAAAGTGAATCATGTGTTATACGTGGACAATGCTAAGCTGACACAAAGAGGGGAATGAATAAAAAGTTTCTGAGACAGGTTCTATCTCAGCCGCTGCAGTTGCCCATAGCAACCAGTCAGCTGATATAATTAATTTTCCCCATACAGCTTAGAAAACTAAAATTTAAGAGCTGATTGGCTGCACTCCAGTTGAGGCAAAGTTTTTATGAATTGCTTTCCTTGGGTTGGTTTCTCTAAAGAAATAGAGATGCATTAGTTTGGAAACGTATGGTTACTTTGAAAAGTGAATGTTGAATGAGCTTAGCAAATGAGTTAAAGTTTTTTTCACTTAAATCAACAAATTAAGTGGGTATTCAAAGTAGGCACAGGTTCACTTAATTTACTAACATTCACTTTGCGAAGTGAACAGCCTCTGCTTATTTAGTAAATTAGCCCCAATGTGGAAGCAGGCCCATACAAATAAAGTGTCAGTATGCCAGCTACTTGCGATCTGAACTGGGGGTTCGATTTCTACCCTTTACTTGCTTGACACGTGCATAAGCAGCAATTGAGGAGTTCTCAGGTGGAAACATCAGAAGATTTACAGCTGGTCGTGAACTTTTTCTTTCTGGCTGGCCGAGAGCTGAGGAGCTCTCTGAATCCTTAGTGATGGTGATTGAATTTAGTCTTGGAGTGGGATTCCTGTGTGATTAAAAGAAAACAAAAATTCCTTTTACAAAAACAAATATAAGAAAACACCTCAAGCACTGACTAGAGCCAGCACGTGGCAAAACAAGCAAGGCTGAATAAATACTCTTTCCATTGTCAGGACTATAGAAATATATACTGATGTTCTACAAATGTGCATGTCTATGGTCACAGTAGATGTCCACAATATCGTTCTTACCGGGGGGGGAACAATGAGCTACAAGATAAAACATTTCCAACACATTGAATATTTCTCCACCATTGCAGATCTGCTGGAAGTCTGTATTATTCATGGTTCATGACATGATAGGACACTGACAAAACACTTACTTTGTCATGCTGCTTCTGCTATTGGTATGTGTGAGTTGAGATTCTGGAGACATTTGCTCTCTATTGGGTGCAAGGGTCCACAACCGGGTCTGAGGAACAATCTAAATGTATGGAAAAGAAATTAATACTTTAAAATCGATCTGTCTACTGACAAGACTATTTTGTAAAGCCACATACTTCCTCATTTGGTAAAATGTTCTTTACTAAATAAGGAAGTATATGTCTGTTCAAAATACCAAGAAAATCCTGGCATCAAAAAAGTGTTCTCATGCCTAAGTGTTTGTTATTTAGCACAGTAACCTTTAGCAACCAATCAGAATCCTGATTTACACTTAAAGTGACATTAAACCCTCAGATTTTTTAACATATACCAATACTGTAATGTATGGCTTACTGTAATCCATGGTTGTTTCTCTTCTCTTTGCTGCTCTTCCTTTTAAATCTGTATCTCTTCTCATGCTGGGCAGAACTTCCCTTTGCAGCCGAGTGCCTCTTCCAGTAGTGCTGGTTCAGGTTGTGAACCTTCACACAGACACCATGTATCTATTCCAGAGACAAGGCAGTCTGCTGCAAAACAGAAGTTCTGCCCAGGATGAGAAGAGATACGGATTTAAAAAGGAAGAGCAGCAAAGAGAAGGGAAACAAACATGGATTACAGTTAAGGCACACATTACAGTATTGTTTTATGCTAAAAAATCTGAGGGTTTAATGTCACTTTAAAGCCTGTCTGTGAGAACACAAATCCCCCCAGTGATGCCTTAAAGTCACACTCTCATTTTCACATCCACAAAAAAAAGGTATAAAGTGCAGAGATACCTGGAGCATCTTTCAGTGCCCATGTTCTGCCCAAATGCCAAGCCATACTTATCAAAGAGAGCTTCAGGAATTACTGGAAGTGCAGAAAATTGCGCAAGCCCTCCCTTCTCTCACACATTGGCCAAAGACATAGCCCATCATAATGATGGGCTAACATAATGATGCAAACTCTGAAATGTTGGATTCTTTCCTGATCAGAACTGCTCAGAACTGAGGAGGAGCATAAGCATTAAAAAGCAACTGCAGGTATTTGAAATTACATCTAAGTCCCTGCTCATCTGTAAAATAAGCATTTCCTGAGAGACCCACAAGGCTGCGATTTTTATTACCCTTCTGTAGATGTTAGTTGTCTGGCCAGTACGTTGAGAAAGTGAGTTTTACAGGTAAGGGACAAAATAGACTGAAGCAAGAGGGTAAAAATGACAGCCAGGAATTTGCAGAAGAATTAGCAATAATATCCTCCATGTCTCTCTCAGGAAAGAATTCCTTTAATTTGCTGCCTTGATCCCTCTGCAACATCTTCAAAGACTCTAGGCAAGTACTGACCCTACACAGATGGTGGAACTTGCACTGTTACAAGCATACTGTACCCCCATGTGACAGGGCTCAAGCCTGGTGATTAGCTACTCAGCCTCAAGCACTGCATTGTGGGAAGGCAGGACTAGTTGCATATGTTCTCCCATTCCTGGAAGTACCAGGATTTTTGAGGTGGCTGTAGTGGGGTCAGGGTGGGAGACAGGAACAAGAAAGATAAGTAAAGTTACTGGAGGGTGCATGCTATGCACTAAAGGAGTTCTTTTTTTTTTTTTAATAATTTTTACATAAAAAGTATTTCAGTTGAATTTATCACCTTTTTTTCTTTATTTTAGTAAATCCATAAAACATATATGTAGACTTTACAATATTTCTAATGTATAGAAAATGAATTAAACACAAAGGATCCGGAAGAACTAGCTAGTTTTCCTAAGAAAACGATGTGGACGGCCATTGCTAAACTATTTCTGGAAATGTTCCCACAGGATTCTACAGGTGAAACTCAAATAATTAGAATATCGTGCAAAAGTAATTGCAGTAATTGGTGCAAAAGGGGCCCAAACCAAGTACTGAGTACATATGCATGCTTGTACTTTTCAGAGGTCCGATATTGTTCTATGTACAATCCTTGTTTTATTGATTGCATGATATATTTTACTTTTTTGAGGTTGTGGATTTGGGGTTCTTGGGGTTTTCATGAGCTGTAAGCCATAATCATCACAATTATGACAAATCACGGCTTGAACTATCTTGCTTTGCATGTAATGAGTCTATCTCATATATTAGTTTCACCTTTTAAGTTGCATTAGTGAAATAAATGAACTTTGCACGATATTCTAATTATTCGAGTTTCACCTGTACATATGTTTAGCCAATCTTGTGATCCAGGAATCCCTGTCAGATAGATTTAGTGTTCTCATATTTATAGGTATTCATCACAATTCAGGCATACATTACGATACCTGCAATAAACTGTATAAGCACTTTGTACTTTTATAAGTCAGTTTACCACGGTTACGTGCCAAGTTGCATTCCACTGGCTGCAGAGATTGCACCATTCACCTGAAGTGGCCCTTGTTTGCTCTTCTCTTCCAGTTTGTGCAGGCTGACCCTCAATTTGGTGTTCTCCTCCTCTAAAATGCTGATGCGGATGCTGTTTGCCTGGAGCTGTTTTTCCATGTCTTCAGTGATATCACCGGAACCTTTAGAATGTCACCATAAAGTCATATAATGGAAAATAATTCATAAAACAATGTTATCTAAATCATCATTGCAGTAACAAATAACTGACTTATTGGTGCTTGCTTTGAGCTGCTGCACTTCACATATTGCTTTGCCCTAAAAAAAAGTCCATGAAATGTCAGTAGGAATGTGAGGAACCAGGAAGTACCACAGCATTGCCTTTCAAAGATGCCCAGCATCTCACTGTATCTGCAGGCTTTTCAAACACGCTTCAGGTATGAACAAGGACCTCTTTATAACTTCTGCATTTGTTTTCTGTAGACAGGATCTATTTAAACACTTAATTTAGTTAATGCGATAATCAAATCAGCATTTTAAACAATCTACATTCATGTCATCAGCGCTAGTGCGTAACACCAGATGTCTTATAGGGAATCTTCCAAGTCAAATGACATCACCCGGGTAGGCAGATATCCAAATTCAGATGGGATGATCCTCAGATATATGCAAAAAACAATAGACAGACAGTGCCTGATCTTCGTGTGTTATAGTTTATTAAAACAAATAATGGTAAAAACAAGAGATCAGTTCTACTCACATATACCGTCTGAATGATCAGCATATAATTCCTCAGCCCAACGTGCATGAAGGCAACAAAGTTGTTGGAAGGCAAGTACAAACCCTTGGTAGGTGAGTATGTGCAGATACAGCTAAACAATCTAATACAAGTACAGCCAAAGAGGCACCCATAATATGACCAGAAAAAAAATATCCACTGCATCCCTATGATCTGTCCACATGCTTGACCAAACTTAACAACCTAATTAATATGAGAGACATTTAGGCCAGGATGAAAATATGATTGTCAGGTCATTACCTTACTTACAAAGGAAGGCCACATTTGCAGGAGAGTAACCCCCCCCCCCCCTCCCCTCCCCATGTGACTACAGGTTGTAAAATCTGACCCAAAAGAGACACCTTATATCACCTCTGGTCAATGATACTGATAGGGAGCTTCCTGGACACTGCCTATGAAGAGGATGGCAATATCTGCATGATAAATACTGGTGACATAATCAGATCACAGCTTGTTATTGGAGACTATTTGTGGCATAACATTTCCATTATAGCTCTGGCAAGGAGATGGTTCAAGTCCAGTTTTCCATTATAAACACTTACTCTCAAATTCAGGTAGCGGATGTAAGTCTGGATATGATATTAAGAGTTTCTCTCTTTCCTTCTGCTCCTGCAGACATCCTTGTAGTTCTGTAAGCTGCCTGGTCACCTCTGACACAGACTTCTCAAGTGCCACCTTCTCCTGCTGCAGTATCCTCACCATCTCCTACAAGTAATGGATGAAATTAGTGGACAGGGTATAGCTACTGAGAAATAGCTGTATTGTATAATATTGATATAAGTAGGTAGGTAGCGACAGGCAGATTTACTTCTTTTGGGAAGTGTAAAGGAGTAATCATTTTTATGTGGCTGTACCTGTTGACCATTCAGTTGTCTCTTAAGGTTTTCCTCCTCTTTTTTTATTTGTTCTATCTGCTCTTCCAGGTTTGCCTTTTCTTCTTCTGCATCACCCAGACTACCTTGCAGGTCTTCACACTCTTGTGATAAACGATCCAACTGCTGCAACAAGGATTTCTGCTTTGCCTGCAGGGACTGGGGTTCAATGGAAAGATGATGCAGATTATTACTGGACAAATAGAATACTGCAACAGATGTTTGTCTGATAAAACGCTATAGAACTATAAAAGATTTTTGCCAAAGGAAAAAGCCACAAAGCAGCAGCATAAACCTATAAACCTATGCATTTCAGTGTTTTGTTGGTTTTTTGTAGTATAATCTTTAATTATTAAATGGACCATGTTAAAGAAAAGGGCATTCAATCAAGACCATACATTAGTCCATTGCAAATCTTAAAGTATCATTACTGCCGTTTCGAGTGTTGTGCCCTTTATCCAATCAATGCAATCTAGGTTACTTAACAAAAGAGTAGACTACATCAGTCCATCACAAAGAGGGAGGTAGGGGGGAGCAAGGCAAATGGGTTGGGGTGAGAGGGGTGTAGGAGGGAGGGTATGGTAGGAAACAGGATATCAGGGAGACCATAGGAGGGGTTAGAAGGAAGAAAGGGGTTAAGTAAACAGTTAAGTAAAGTTAAGTTAAGTAAGAAGTAACAAAGTACAGAGAGGTGCAGGCCAGCTCAAAAATGGATGAGATCAGGTCTGAGATTTGTTGGAGGGTAGTTCTGCTTCAGCCAAGTGAAAAAGGCCTGGGGGAGCCAGACACGACAGTCCTTAAATATCCAGGATCTCCTGGAACTGGGGGTCCAAAGGTTAGACAGTTGTTACAATGGTGTGTTAAAATGCCTCCAGGTGGCCCAGATGCAAAAAACTTGTCCTATTGATCCTTGTTTACCTATTTTAAGGAACTATCCAACTTTTTTGAATTTACCTGCACATTGCCAACACTAACAGCTGGAAGTGCACTTCATCCTAGCTCTCATCCTAGACTGATAAAAAATGAAAACCATTAAAGCTAGCCTAGGCCACATACTAAACAACACGGCCAGCCGTGTTGGATTGCTGCTGCTTCCATCCCTGAGCGTGTACTGTAACATAACTCTGTGAATAAGGGATAGACTGCCAGTATCACAGCTGGATTCAATATTTAAGGCACAATATACTGTACTTACCTATGAAAGCCAGTGAAAGCTGATGCAATGTTAAAACAAATAGGATTAAAAACACAAAATCAAGTTTTTACTTGATGATAGTGGGAGGCACTCACCTCTTTTTGGATCTGAAGGTTCTCTCCACGTGCCCGTTCTTTAGATACTGCCTCTTCTGATTCATGCACTTTCTGCTGGGTGCTATCTAGGTGGACTTTCAAATCATTCATTTTCTTTTCCAGAGCAGAGACCTCTTCCTTGCGAACCATATTTTGCATCTCGGTTATTAGTCTTTGTCTGGCTAGCTCTACAGAACATAAATCTTTGATTATGGACTAATTCAGACACATTTTTCATTCTTAGATACTCTTGTTGTGATTACTTTTTGGTCTCAAAAAAGTAATCACAACATACAGCAATAGCATGCTTTTCAAATCAAATATATACATTTTATCACTGAAAAGTAGCAGTGATATCTAGGAGAATGATGAAGCATTTCCTCAGAAACCCTGTCCCCAGTGATCATTTAGACAGTACCATTGTAACTTTGTAGTAAGCCACAAGATGATAGGCAGCACAAAGGGGGTTGACATAAAGGCTACTGCACGGGTGCCAGGCTTTACAATTTCATGGCATGTGTGTTCATGGCTTCCTTCTTGCCCTCCTCAATTTTTAAGTTTTTCAGGTTTTCATGACTGTTATGTGCAGGTTAATAAGCAGCTGGAAACAATGTAACCTGATTGCAACAGTCCATATGGAATAGTGATACAGTGCAGCTTACAGCAACCACTTTTTAATACATTTTTATTAAACCTCACCTAGATCTCGGATGGTACAATGTTGCATTGTTAACTCCTCTTTCAGAATGGAAACTCTTTCTTCTAGGACCACTGAGCCTAAATCAAATATAAGCAATTAATTAGTGCCCAGTAAATTAGTAACTCTTATGTCCTCCTAAGGTGTTCTTTGAGCTATCAGAATGAGGTTTAATCAACCAATACCTTTTCTGAGTTCTTCCTTGTCCCTCTCCAGCCTGTCCATCACTTCCTGACTTTGTTGCCCCTTTTCTTGTAACTTCCTTTCATTGTCCTTTGCTTGTCTCTGCATCTCTTCCCTCTGTGCCTGAAGCTGATTCTCCCAACTTTCCATATTTTCTTGAAGCCTCTCATTCTCGACTTTAGTAGCTTCAAGCTGATTTCTCAGAGGTTGTATCAGCTGGGTGAGCTCTGATAGATGTTTGGCTATACGAGCCAGGTCCTTGCTCTCTTCACTGGCCCAGTATCTCATTTCATTGGGAGACAGGATACCTCCAGGTGGTAAAACCTCTTGGATTTTTGTAAGAGACGTGGGCAAATTCTGACTTTTACATACACTAACAATGGCATCAGTGACTTCTTTCAAGCTACTCTGGGCAATAGCACATGCATCACAGGGTACGAGAGCAGACTCTAATGTCTGTGAGCCTACATTTCGTGTGTCCTTTACAGTTTCAGGCTTAGATTCTCTTGGAGTGCTGCTAATTCCATGGCTCTGAAGATGTGAGGGGGCTGTCTGAAGCCTTGATGAAGACAAATGGGAAGGATCTTTGGAAGTTTCATTTTTATTTGTCATAATAACATTGTCCTGTATGGAGACTCTCTGCAGAAAGATGGAAATATTTAAAGCAGGTTTAAAAAAAAAAAAAAAAAAAGGAATATCCTTTAAAAGATAAAAATGCTGCTTTTGCTGCAATACTCACTGGAAATATTTAGAAAGACCGGTGTTCTGTCATATTTGACAACCCGTTACGTTTGCCGACCGATGTAACATGCACAGCCACACCTCCAACTAAAAAAAATAATTTGTTTCAACCAACACCGGCGCACATGAGCGCTGATGTCACAAAGTCACAATGTTTGCGGGTAACACTGGGGACACTGATTGACCCAGTGGGTCAAATTAAGAATACCGAATGACCCAGTGGGTCACACTAGGGAGACTAAGTGACCCAGTGGGTCACACAAGGGGGTGTGGCGAACTCAGGCGAAGCGTCAACCACTGCAAATATGGTGACCTTTATGACGTGTTCGCACATGCGTCTAGAATATATCTAGGCTTTTTTTTTTTCCCTCAGTGTGTTTTTCATACAGTGCATGCGCAATTGCGGTGTGGAGGAGGTGTCGCCGTGCACCTAACATAGGTCAGCAAACGTAATGCAGTCGCTAAAGCCGACAGAACACCGGCACAAAGAGAACTGAAGAAGTGTATCAGAGCAACAAACTTGAAAAAATCTAATTGGTGGCATATGGATGTTTTTCACATGCAACACTTACTTCTGTCCTTTCTGCCATTTGTATGCATAAATCCCATGCACTCCTCTTGAAGATATCTCTATATATCTAAATTAGGTACAGAGGCACTTACAGGTCTAGTAGCGGAGATCAGTTAAAGCATCAGCATTTTATTGTCAACGTTTCAATGGAGCTCAGTCTATCTTACAAAGATAGACTGAGCTCCATTAAAATGTTGACAATAAGATGCTGATGCTTTGCCTTATCTCCGCTGCAAGACCAGCTAGTGCCTCTGTTATATATAGTGCCTTCCTTATTATTTTCAGGGCCAAAAATAATAAAAAAAAAGAGAAAACATATTTTAATCAGGTGCATAAGAAATATTTTTGTATCCTTCAACTTCAGCTAGCAAGTAGCCACTGTTTTGTTTTTTTACTAAGCTCATTTACTACTCTTCTGTGAATAGTCTGCGTAATTCTATTTCTTGCTATACCAGTCTATTAACAACACATACACAACTGAATTAATCAATGTAGGGATGTACAGACTGGTATGGATTTTCAAATAAAGGGAAGCAGTCAACAAGTAAACAAGCAGTATTGGGCGTTTTTATATTAGAACATCCTGAATGCTTTGCATACACACTGTGATGGAGGCACCGTATGGTAAATGTTTACTTGTAAAATAAATATTCTATACAAAAATAAAGGGAAAATAAAACTGAACTAAAAATAAAAGTAATAGTCCCCCATGTTTACCTTTCCACTTTGTGGTTTTTGGAATACAGTTCCTAGCTTCACCATGCTGCGCCAATATTTCCGAACTGTCAGCCCAATGGACATGGAGGGTCCAGGACTAAGGGCTGGAGTGAACCGACCTTCATTGTTTATTACCTCTGTGTAAATGTCAAAACTCTGAAGCAGGAGAAGCAGCCTGGGCATATAGAAGATAATTGTCAAGCAGTACATGTTTAAATAATGTCAAAGGTAAGTAGGTAGGAATACAGCATGACATTTCATCTATATCTTCTGACACGGCTGTACAGACCCGCAGGACAGAGGGTCACTTGTCTGCCATTTTGTTTTTATATTTTAGCTAACCTGGTTCCAACTGAATTGTCTGGGGTCACTGTCAATGGGCTTTGGGTTTGTGTCTATGACACCAGTTAAGCATCAGTTTAAGATGCTTTTGAGATCATTGAGAACTAATTGACAGGTGTATTTGACCAGATAAGCTGACCTCCTTCTGACCTGCATTAGACCTGTTTCAAGGAGGTTTTGCATTCTCTTAAGCTGGCCACACACCTTACAACCATCGCAAAACTTTTGTCTTGCGATGGTTGTAAGGTAATTAAAAAAAACATGAGTTGATTACCTGATAACTCTGTTTCCAGGAATCTTCCAGGACAGCCATCGAGATATAGGCTCCGCCTGCCTGCAACAGGAAACACATCAACCACATTAAATAAATAGACTCCTCCTTCCATCAACTCGATGGCTGTTCTGGAAGATGACTGGGGAAACATACGATCTGCCTATCTTGGACAGGCAGATCGTACTTGTGATAATCGCAAGTCTGCCCAGCAGAGGGGCGGGCTTCCGATGACCGCAATGCTGAACAGGCAGTGTGCGCTTGCGCACACTGGCCCTTACGGCAGTTATCTCTATCATGCTACAAACCAGCCGAAAATCGTATGATTCTCGGCTGGTTTTCGAACATGCTCGAAAGACAAAAGTCATGCGACCGTACAGTAGAAATGGTCGCACGCCTTCCACACACCTTGCGATAATCGTACAATCGCGAGATTTCCCGCGATAATCGTACAATTATCGCAAGGTGTGTGGGCACCTTTAGACTTGTATAGGAATGTGAAACCTGTTTGAATCCCTGTTAGGTTTTGATTGCTCTCGGTGTCTCAGCTGGGGAGATCTACCCTCTTTATTTGTTCTAGTGATCATTGTCACTGGAACATAAATTGATTGGAAATCCAAAATTCGGAGTTGTAACCAGAACAGCAATACAGGGGAATTCTTGCAATGGGACAACTGACAATTCACCTCACATTGAAGAGATAAGTGTGCACTTCCTATTATGACTACAGGGCAGGGAGTAAAGGAAAAATGTCATGAATGGGACACCAGACAGGGAATCTTAACCATTCTTTACTCTATTAAAAATGAAATAAAAAGATTTGGCTATAGTTACACTTTAAAAGAGAACTGCGGCCCAACCTTTTTTGCCATAGTTCTCCTTAGGGCCACAGGAGGACATTTATTATGTCCTCCTGTTACCCAAACTCAGCATATAGCAGGCTATTGCCCGCTATATGCTGACAGCGCAGAGCCGCACTGCAGCTGAGAAAGATCCTGACAATATTGTCAGGATCCACCCCGCTGTCTGATTGACAGCTGGCTCTGCCTCATCGGAGGCAGAGCCAGCTGTGTCTGCCCTCTCCTCTGTCCCTCCCTCCAGTGAGCGCTGGAAGAATGGAGAGTGTAGGGGGAATCCCTGCGGGGAGCAGTGACTGAGACTCACCTCTCTCTGCAGGGAGAAGATCAGGAACTGAGCAATCAGTGGTAGTTGATCGCTCAGTTCTCGATCAATAGAGCCGTTAGGATAGGTGCAGAAGGGTCCGTCGTCAAATGAAGGTCAAGTTAGCAAACTAGATGTGAGGGGAAATGATTGGTAATCAAGAAGGTGGGGCACAGAAATTCTTAGACTGTCGATTATACTGACCCCCTCCAGGAGAAATGGATAGTGGCAACATAAAAACTGTTAGCCAGCTCAGGAAAAACCCCGGCCAGAGCTGGATTTCTGAGCCACTGAGCCAGGGAAAACCTAGTCCAAATGAATTAATTTGCCCAGAGACAGGCAACTCCTGGACTGTAGAGGTTGAACCGAGACCAGAGAGTTTGAATTTTTTTTCAATGGAGGGAACATTTTGGCCTGAGCTATGTTAAGGACTAGACCCAGATACTCTAAATCAGTGGTTCTCAACTCATGGGTCGCGACCCAAAAGTGGGTCGCGAGCCCTTCTGCAGTGGGTCGCGGCGCCCTTCCTGCATGGAGCAGCCCATCTTCAGTAGGGAGACACAGAGGGGGGGATTTTCTGTCAGTACAAGGGAACTCCGTGTTGCGAATCTATCCCCTATTTCCCGCCCCCCCCTTCCTGCATGGAGCAGCCCATCTTCAGTAGAGAGACACAGAGGGGGGGATTTTCTGTCAGTCTAAGGGAACTCCGTGTTGCGAATCATCTATCAGTTATAGAGATGATTTCTAAGTGCCTGTTCACACGACGTCCGTTTTGTGTGCTGACCTGATCCGTACGCTCCTGCACTCAAAATGCATCCCAATGTATCCCTATGTGTTTTATGGGCTACAGTTCCCACGTGCGCAGTCCGTTCAGGTTACGACAGAAAAATACTGCATGTCACATTTTGTACGGTCAGGAAACGGTCAGGATACGCAAACGCGTCAAAAACGCACTGCGCTGCAGCTAACATACTAACAGCCCCACTCCAGCAAAAAAAAATAAAATGCACAACACACTTTTTATACAAGTATTCCACAGTCAAGTACTTAATACATAAGATGTCCATGCATGAGTACTGACAGAAGAAACCATGCAACAGCAAAAGTGGAAAGTGTTTCTTAGATCAGCACACCTGAAATAAAGAATTACAGCCATTAGTCCACGTGTACTTTAAGCAAGGAATTAATCGCAGTAGTGAAGAGATCTTATTTTAATGAATCTACCAGCACTGGTTGGCTGACTGGAGACACTTCCAAAATGTAACATATCTGACCTTATCCACTTCAAGACCAGGTGTTTAGACCCCCTTCCTGGCCAGGCCATTTTTCAGTATTCAGGGCTGCGGTACCTTGACTGAGGTTTATTCCGTCATGCAACGCTGTACTGAAATACATTTTATACCATTTTTTGGGGACACATAGAGCTTTCTTTTGGTGCTATTTAATCACCACTACGAGTTTTATTTTTTACGATATTTAGGAAAAATTACTAAAAATTTTGGAAAAAGCAAAGTTTTTTTTACATTATGTTAGGAAGCAATTATTATTACCAAATTTTTGGTAAAATATAAAAGGCAGGGTCACGTCGGGTAAATAGACACCAAACATGTCAAGCTTAAAAATTGGGCGCACCCGCGAAATCGCAAAAAAACGACCATACGCAAAATTGACCATAGGCGACGCCTTAAAAGCTTTTACCGCTCATCAGTTTAGTGTTATCCGTGATTGATGGCCCTAGACTTATTGGTCTCACTGCGATGTTCACGACGATATGTAACATGTCCGGCGTAATGGGCGCAATCGTCGTTTTCGCAGGTATGCGCACCCGACGCATGTTTGCATGCGAGTATGTATGGGTGGGGACTTTAAAAAAATGTTTTTGTTTTTTTACATTCTTTTTATGTGTAACTTTAAATATTTTTTTTTTTCCACTTAACTTTATTGCTATCACAGAGGGGGCTAAGAAACCACCTTATGTGATAGGAAAAGAAGTGACAGGTCCTCTTTATGGAGACATCAGGGGTCTCAAAGGATGGGGGCCCGCGGAGGGAGCAGGGGGGACACGGGCCGGGCTCTATAGCCGGCGGATCGCTTCTATGTTAACGGGCATCGCTGCCTGTTTTTAAATGTCGTGTCTTTCCTGCTCGCGCGCGCCCGAGTGGGCGGGGCTAACAGGCCGTGTTACATCGAGGAAGCTCCCGGCCGGCCGTTTTTTTTACAACAGACGGTCGGGAAGCGGTTACAGGGTTTCTTAACCCTCAGTTTTTTTTTGCATATATCTATTGCTAGCAAGCAGTAGATATATGCAAAAAGTAAAAAAAAATGCTTTTGAAAGCGGTTTAAACTTACCGCTGTCTTCGCCGCGCGCTCCCGTCCAAAAATTCCGAAACTGCTTGGGCAGCCGCAAAGCATCTTGGGGCGGGCGCATTCGCATTTCAGATTTGCGGCCGGGAGACGAGGAGAGACACAAGGTAAGTCTATAAACGTGTGCACCCGCATGCAGACACCGTGGGATCGGGAGTGCGAGCAAGCACAGAGGAGTCAGCGCTGGATCGGAGAGCCGCAGCAGCGCTGGAGAGAAGGCTGAAAACGACAGGAAAGAAGAAGATCGGATTAAGAGACATCATTTAAGGTGAGTGTTTTACTTAACATTGGGGGGAGGGGGGAAACATTTGACTTTAATGTCCCTTTAATCTACCAGCAGCTGTTGATAGTGGAAAATTTCTGAAACAAACAAAAAGCAGCAGAGTTGAAGAAAACCTGTCCACTCTCCTGAGGACACTATAAAAAAACTGCCATGCTAGTAGTCGGTAGGGTTATCCTGAGCTGGCTCACAGTTTTTTGTTGGCAAAGCCCATTTCTCCTACAAGGGGCAGTATAACCAGTCTAATAATTCCTGTGCCCCTTAATAGGCATAAAAAAAAAAGTTTTGCCGTTAGTTATACTTTCATTTTTGAGAGTTAACATGAATATATTATATAAAAACCTCGATATGACATGTGCAATAGGTATTGCCAAACTACATAAATGTACCATACCTGTCAATTACAAGCTCCAGTAACACCATATGTGAAACCTGTGTGATCTCTGGATCATTCTCCACATAGTCATATCTATCCAGCAACTGTACCAGATCGAGATCACAGGACATTTTATTTGGGAATTTCCAAGAGGGGACCCGAACAGCACCCACTCTTGAGAAGACATCAATCACGGTACCCTGAAGATCAGTAATGTCCTTCCTCAGGCTTTCCATACATGTACGATCTCCCAACATATATGCCATGTTTCTGATACCTAAGTGAACACAACGCAATAGGGAAATTGAAATAAATTAAAAAAAAAAAAATCTGTTTTAAGAAATACTGCCTTTCTTTACGCTCTTTCCTTGATGACAGGTCTTCATTAAAAGAAACCTTTCATGAGAAACATGGAGGCTGCTAGTACTGACCTTAGCTTCTTAAAATGCTAATCGCCATGTTCTTTCTTTCATACTTTCCTCCAGGGGCGCCCACAATTTTTAGTGTTAAGATCTACTTTTCAAATGACGAGCTCATTGAGATCTACCAACGGAAAAAAACCTCCCTCTCTCTCCTGGCTGTCTCTCCACTCTCTCTCCTGGCTGTCTCTTCTCTCTCTCATGGCTGTCTCTTCTCTCTCTCATGGCTGTCTCTCCCTCTCTCAGCTGTCTAATGGGCACCTCTGCATTAAATGATAGTCCAAAGCGTTTATTGGTTGAAACCATCGCCTGCTAATGTAACGGTCCCAGAACTTAAAAAATTCATGCACAGGCTGTGTAGAAACATCATGCTTGCCGTGGTGTGCGTGAATGCCTGAGGAGGCTCAGAGGAGATTCTCACTGGTCGGCGCATTCACACAGATCAATGATCACACACCATTGCAAGCGTTATGGTGCTATACAACCTCCAAGGCTGTGTAGAGAAATTTTTAAGTGACAATTTTATAGGCTGAATTGGGAGGCACCAATTCAGAGATGATTTGAGGATCTACATCTGAGTGATACGCAAATAAGATATATTTTTGTTAATAAGGTACTTGAATGCATTTTTAAAGATTTAACTCCAGAGTTTAGTATCACTTTAAATAAAAGAATAAAAAATGGGACTCCAGTGGCAGCTGCATTGCATTGTTCAGGGTAGGCTTCTTGATGATTGTCAGCTTGGCCGCCTATAATATCCAAAAGAAGCTCATATGGCAGGGTGATAATGCTAAAGCTTTCCTTTAAATGCATTCAATGAACATGCTCATCGGAAAAGAGAGCAGAGAGGTGACCTTATGAGTCTGTTTCTGCCCCTTCACTGTCCAATTACAGGCTAGGAGGCCACAAAGCCTTTATTTCATAAATGCAGCTCCAATAAATGTATTTTATTAATGTGTTTAGCTTTCTGCCGTAACGCTGAACTCTGGGATAAGCATACCGTCTAAATACAAGAAACATGTGTATTCTTACTTGAATCTTGGTGTGTTTTGTGCATTGTTTCCAGATATGTGCAGTATTCCAGAGTGAAACTTTTCCTCTGTGCATACACTTCCTGTAATAAAGACAGGTCACTGCTGCTCTCTCTCTCTCTTTGTGCAGGGTGACTGGTCTTTTATCCGCCCCCTCCTGTACTTTTCTGCAGGGAGCTTGTCCTGGTTGGATCTGCTATTCCTCCCCCACAGTCCTGCCCTCTGCACAGGCTATGTATTATAACCTTCGTTACTACTGAGATATTTGATTTTTTGAAATATACTGTGTCTGGAGTTTAACTATATTTTCTACATCTCTCAGTGCTATACGTTCGGGAGCTACTTACTCCGTTAATGAACACGTATAAGCCGACTATCCCATGTGAAAGTTGTTGAACCCTCAAGTGTAAACTCGCTGGAGTCACAGACAAACCTGTTGTCTGCACAAACTCCTTCTTCGTACACTACATGCGTTGCCATAACAACGTAACACCATAGAACGACTACTTCCGGTGCTTCGTATTTCCGGTTTGATGTGGAATGTACTATTCAGTGATGGGGGTGAAGGATTATTGTGCTAGTTACATCCCGTTGACAACGCAACTACTGTTTCTTAACTATGACTAGGCTGCCTTAGCATTTGCACCTGCCTGTCTGCAAACAGGTCCGGTCACTGTGCTTGTCTGTATACAAACGGAGAGGTTTTGTTTTTTTTTGTACACCCGAGCTGTGGTGTGCTGTCCTCCAGCACTTCCGCCCGTCTTTTTCACCTCAGTGCTGCCGCCATTTTGGTGTCGAGTGCTATCGGATACCGCCAGAAGCCCGGAGAAAGGCCGACACCATGCCGGCGGGTCCAGTGCAGCTGTTGGCTCCTCAGGCGCCCGAGGGAGGGCAGGTAGGTGTGAGCTGTGCATTGCAAAGATCCGTGGGGTGGGTCACCTGTTGGTTTTGCTGCCATATGTAATGCAGACGGCTGTATGTACGCTTCCATGTGTGTCTACAGAGACTCAATAGGCTGTTTATGCCAACATGAAAAGTAGGGAGCTGTTGGACACCTACAGGGTATAAGGGATATGTGAAATGATTCGTACAGGTGGTAGTGGCTGGGATTAAAGATACAATGTTATTAAGCTATTTCAAATGCTGATTAAATCACAGTGTATGCTGCTTCTTGATGTTTAACATTGTTGGCTTTCTGTTTAATCAGCTGGACCCCTGAGCCCTGGCCCTGATATCCTGTTTTAGGGCTGCTCCTTTACCTTGCAGGATCCAGTGGCGCCACTCTTGTGTGTGCTAGTAAGCTGTGTGTGTGTCTCCACAAACACAGTTACAGCAAGACATTCACCTGCTTCCTGCTCTCCACTCTCCTGTCTCCAAGGTGGCTACTGGAGAGTGATCCATCCTTTGTGATCTTGTATGGGACAGGAAGTTTAGGGAAGTTGATAGAGCTGGAGCCAGCTGTTTGGAAACATGGTGACTGGAAGTGCTTGGGCAGCAATGTTAAGAAATACTAATAAATTAGATTTGATCTGGATTCATTAATGGAAAAAGTTTAATGTAGCGTCCAATCAGAGATAGTTTGTCAGCACTTTTATTTATACACTGCTCAGAAAAATGAAAGGAACACTTTGTAATCAGAGTATAGCATCAAGTCAATGAAACTCCCGGGATATTGATCAACTGCCATTAGGTATCGGGATGAAATCCTTGGACCCATTGTCAGACCCTACACTGATGCAGTGGGTCCTGGGTTCCTACTGGTGCACAACAATCCCTGGCCTCATGTGGCGAGAGTATGCAGCCAGTTCCTTGAGGATGAAGGAATTAATACCATTGAATGGCCCCCACGCTCGCCTGACCTGAATTCAATAGAACACATCTGGGACATTATGTCTTGGTCCATCCAACGCCGCCAGGTTGCACCTCAGTCTGTTCAGGAGCTCAGTGATGACCTGGTCCAGATCTTGGAGGAGATACCCCAGGACACCATCCGTTGTCTCATTAGGAGAATGCCCTGACGTTGTCAGGCATCCATACAAGCACGCGGGGGCCTTACAAACTAATGAGTACCATTTTGAGTTGCTGCAATTAAATTTCAGTACAATGGACTAGCCTGCTGCATCATTTGTTCACTTTGATTTTTGGGGCATCTTTGAATTCAGCCTTCTGTAGGTTGATAATTTTTCATTTCCATCAAACAATGTGGCATCCTTTTGTTCCTAACACAGTACCCAGTCCAGTATACAGTATATATCCAGTGTGATATTTTTCCCCATTGAGATCTGATGTGTTTTCAAAGGGTTCCTTTAATTTTTTAAAAAAGTTTTATATTGGTATAGTGCTGACAGTTTATGTAGCACTGTATATACTGTGCGCTCACATCAGTCCCTGCCCCCAAGGAGCTTGCAATCTCCCTCTTCACACTTGCATTTTTTTTTTGTGTATATACCTCCTTTTTTTAATTCACGTTGCCCCACACTACTGTGTGGTGTTCTTGCCTGGGTGAGAATGACATACTCCAACTGCCAGAGGCCTCCTTGGTTACTTGTGCCGCACATTCCAGGAGGCTTCAGGGTAATCCACAGCACATGCATCATGGCGCATCATAAGGGGACCAGCTGCAGGAACACAGAAGAGACAGCCGGCTCTCAATGACATAAGTGAAGATGGTGACCCAGCATGCACGATGGGTTAGAGCAGGACAACGCTGAATTTGCTGGATGTGTGAGAATGTGGGGATTCATAAAACGGGGGCAGTTACCAGAGACAACCAATCAGCTTTTATCTTTTCATTTTAAAGCTTAACTGAACAGACTGAAAAGAGAAGCTAGTTGGTTACTATGGGCAACTGCTCCAGATTCTGTCTGCTCCAGTTCTGATAAATGATGATGGATAAGGCAGGGAACAAGGTAAGATGGAATAAAAAAAAAACTGTGTGAAGTTCTTTTAAACAAAAACCTGCTACCCATACCTTTTTTTTATTTTTTTCCCCATGTTCTAAACTTATTGTAAAGTTTGCCATCCTATTTTCCTCAGCTCCATCTTGCGGGCTTTCATTTGCACATATGTAGTGTATTTAACCATAAGTTAATTTTTTTTATGTTTTTTTTTTTTTTAAGAATAGGGAGAAGTAAAACTGTCTGTTCCATCTTGGAGATCTCCCTCTTACTTCCTGTCCCAGACACCCAGCAGGAAGTGAGAGGTGATCTCTCTAAAACAAATGTATATCTTTGTTATGTTACCTGTTATACAGGGCATAGGTACACTGTCTCTGCAAAGGGCAACGTCTGATCCTCATCTACCGACCTGCCATTTCTTACAGCTCCTTCATCCTCCAAAGCCAGTTCTGAAATTAGCTCTTTTGTGTGGCAGTGCTCAGGCCTGTGTATTGGCTGCTGGGCCTGAGCACCCTCACGGGATCAGGCTGCATGTTCTCTCATATTTTGGAGTGGGTATTGTTTTTGGCTGTAGTGTAGTAAGGAGGGGGCGTGTCTGCGGTGCCATTGAGTTGCATGGCACCGCAACTCCCCCTCCTGCCCTAGAACGCAGGAAGGCTTCCACTATGCGCTCCAGCTTGTTCTGGCCACTAACCGTGCTGGAGCGCACTGGAGATGGTGTGAACTGGTCCTGAGGGTTTGGCAAATTTTGTAATCTTTCTTAGATTTAAGAGAACTATGGGGCAAATGTTTTTCCCCATAGTTCTCTTAGGGTCACGGGAGGACATGTACTAGTGTCCTCCCGTGACCCAAAGCACAGTATATCGCGAGCTACAGCTCGCAATATACTGAGACCACCACAGCCGGCAGGGATTCAGACATTACAGTGGAGATCGGCCCAGCTGCATGAGTGACAGCTTGCTCTGCCTATCTAGGAGCACAGCCAGCTGTACCCGGCGCTGGAGGATCGGACAGGGGAGGGGGGGGGAATCTCTGCAAGGAGCCGTGACTGACGGAGATGATCGGGAAGTGAGCGAGCAACGGTATGTGTTCACTTCCCGATCTACTGAGCCGACATGTGATAGTTTAATTGTCACACGTCGGCTCGAACTATGAGGGTGAGTGATTTTCACTCATCTCATAGTTCTTCTTTAACCAACTGTTTTGTTCCACTCAGGGGCTCAGTGCTCAGGGGCCATTTAATCTCCTTCATATGACAGATCAGAGCGGTGAAGATCTTGGATTGTCTGTTTTATACTATAAAGCAGAACTCTGGGAAGAATTCTTATTACCCCTTGTCTTCAGTTCATATATCTATAAATCTGCATGAAGGTCTAGCTCCTTCCTGACAAATCTGGAAAAATGATAGACTTGTTAATTCATTAGACAGACTGTACACTGCGCAAGAGGTGCTTTCCAGGGCTCATTCTTCTCAAGCAAGCAGGGCTCCCCAAAAACATGCATTATATGCAGAGAAAATGGAATATGACATGGCACGCAATAATCTTGTCCCAGCTGTCCCACAAAACTGGCCTTCTGCATAAATGGATGTTACCATATTTATCATACCTCATTGCACAATGTGTCCCCTAATTTGGAGGAAGTAAAGCTATAAAAGAAAAACTTTTAGATTTAATATGTTAGTTTGCACAGCATATTGGCACACTAAGGCAGGTTTACCTGTCAAAGCATTCCCCTTGCCAACTGCGCTCCTCCCTCTCCAGCACTTTTATATTCTTCCTTGTCTTCTTCTGGGTTTTAAGTGTTTAGCGGCCTGATTGGCCGGACCAGGACGATGAGCATGCGCATGGTTGTTACTTTGTTAGTATGCCAGGTCTAGCAAAACAAATGGCAAACACACTCATCAACTCATAACGAGCTTTCAAGCAAGGTGCACACAGAAGGGCTTTTTACAGTACAACAGCAAAAAGGTTCCCAGCCAGCATGTAAAAAAAAACCTGTCCAACCGCTAAGGTTAAAAATAGGTTTAGATACATGTCTTCTGCAGACTATGTGAAAGCCGCACTGCCTCATCAAGGCCTATCTGTGTAGTGCGGTCCTAACTCTAGCCTATGAGAGTCTCCATCTTGGCGCACATGTAGCAAACAACAAAATTTGGGTGCAGGTTTGCCAGGAGGCAGCCCAACCTCCGTAAAGGCACAGGGACCCCACACATCACAACGGCAGCTGAGACCCCCAGACTGCACCAAATCAGTCAAGCAATGTATGCCAGGTCTGTCGCTGAGCTACACATGCACAGAAAATTCCCTTACTGATCAGCCTGTGTGAAAGGGGCCTAACGGTGCACTCTGTGCTGACCTATAAATTGCATTTTTCTCTGGATTACAAAACCCTCTGTTATATAGAATAGGAGCTGGGTGGTGTGCTGTAGTCTTATCTTGTTCCTGTTCTGATGCAGTATGGTAAATGAGTTGTCATGTTAGGACTGAAAGTGTGTTCCTGGCAGAATCACCAGGTGGGAAAAAGTTTGAATATAGAATCTAATCCAGGCACCTCATCTAGGGGCTGGTAAGCCACAATTTAGAACCTTTTTATTTTTTGGATTTAGATACACTTTTATAACTCAAAATGTTGCTCCTGTAAATATTGTCTTGCCATTGAAAAGAGCAGTGATGGTCAACATGCACCGAGCTTTTGGGTTACAGCAGTAAATTGTTTTGGGACTGCAGTTCCTTTTATATTCCTCAGATAAACTAACTTTTTTTTATTTTTTTTTGTAGCAGCAAATGGAGGAGGAAAAAAAAGAAGAGGTGGTTTACACTAAGCCTATTGTGGGTATCATCTATCCTCCACCAGAGGTCCGAAATATTGTGGACAAGACTGCAAGCTTTGTGGCAAGGTAAGTGATGTGAGCTTGGAATGATTGTGTATAAAACTGTCAACCAATCGCATTTGATTTTTCTCACATTTGGATAATTACTAGTAGACTGGTTTTCTTCACACACTTTCATTAGATATTCGCTGATGGTTTGCCAAAAAGAATTGTAGGCTGGGTTCACACCTGGGTGTTTTTCAGCACTGATCGAAGCGCAGAAAAGCGCTCAGCAAGAGAAATCCCATACTTTCCTATGGGCATGGTTCCCACCTGGGCGTATTTCAGCAGATGGAAACGCGCTGAAAAACGCCCTACGCCCAAACAAGTACAGGAGCTTCTTTGGGGCGGATTTCAGCGCATATCCATTGTTATTTCCGAGTGTGGCTCGGGGTTGACAAAGCGGTAACCCCGAGCCACACTCGGGAATACAGCGCAGGTCTTACCTTGTCTGCGATCCCCGCTGTGTCCTCCGGCCGCTTCCGGGGTCCATCCCTTGCGAGCGTACGCGTCGCAGGGGGGCGGAACCGGCGGGAAGTTTGAACGTTTAAAAGAAGAAAAAAAGACCTGAAAAAAATCATACCGCCAGGGAGGTATAAAGACGCACGTTTCACTGAGCGAAAAAACACGCCTATAGTACGTCCAGGTGTGAACCCAGCCTTAAGGAAAAGATAGGTCTCGTGTTATTGTACTATTGTCCCATGTCCTACTGTCATTATACAGAATAGGTTTGAAATGTACAGAAATCGTATTGGTTACTGTGACCAGCAAAGATTGATAAATGAGGCCTACTGAGCTTAAAGTCAGCCCTAAAGTTCCCATACTATATCGCCACCTCCCTTTTGAAAATGCTAATTGACTGTTACTGATTCAGGACAGTGTAGATCAGACAGAATGTCTTAACTACATTCATATTTGAGCTAAGCCAGTCAAGCATTAAATCTGAAGGTTGAGCATGGTAGCCAGGCAGCTAGCTGTTAAGGGAGAGGTCCTCACAGGCGCATCGTTGTTCCTCTCATGCCAGTCTCCACTAAATGGGTGTTCATTTCAATTGAGTTTTTAACCAACACATCTTACTGCTCATGATTCTTCATTACTTTTCCATAATAAGCAGATGGCTGGATTTTCACTTTGAAGATAAAATCTGATACACATATTTTTTTTCTGTGACAGAAATGGCCCAGAGTTTGAAGCCAGAATCCGTCAAAATGAAATCAACAATCCTAAGTTTAATTTCTTGAACCCAAATGATCCTTATCATGCTTACTACCGTCACAAGGTCAATGAGTTCAAAGAGGGAAAAGCGCAGGAGCCATCTGCTGCCATACCTAAAGTTATGCAGCAACAGCAGTCTGTACAGCAGCTTCCACAGAAGGTATGTGATTGTTCCACACATGGAAATCCAGTTGTTTCCCAAAATGTATTATGTAGAAATGACATTCCCCTGTTTAAATTAGAACTTTGGTTTTGGATGTACCCGTATAATTGCTGTACTCGACTATATTCTCTTTTCAGGTTCAAGCTCAGGTTGTCCAAGAAAGCATAGTTCCAAAGGAACCCCCTCCAGAGTTTGAGTTTGTAGCTGATCCACCGTCTATCTCTGCCTTTGACCTGGATGTGGTGAAACTGACAGCCCAGTTTGTGGCTCGTAACGGGCGCCAGTTTTTGACCCAACTGATGCAGAAGGAACAGAGAAATTACCAGTTTGACTTCCTTCGGCCCCAGCACAGTCTTTTCAACTACTTCACCAAGCTTGTGGAACAATATACTAAGGTAATGCCTTTTAACAGTCCATTGAAGAAGCAGGGAATTTAATTTATTTTAATGGAGCTGTAGTAGCTGTTGCTTTCATGTACAGTATGTATGTTAGTTAAAATCACACTTGCCATAGCAGAGGAGGGGCTTGTCTTTATCTTCTAGAAGTAGACATGTCCCAAACAAAAAAGTTTAAAATAAAAACATACCTTTTTGCTGTAGGCAGACAGCGGCATTTCCTCAATCTCCCGTAACTTGAGTGACAACTGTGAGTCTGCTGGGGCTTTTGGCTTTACATCTGAGATGTTGGTGCCCAACAGCAGTCTCAGGGCCAATGTGGGGTTTTGTGTTTGTCCAGGACAAAGTCTTATCTACGAGGGGTTCTGTGGTGTTTTGATGGGTTTTTTTTCCCCCCTACCCAGCTTCAACACCCAACTACCAGGGAAGTGGCCTGGCATGCAGGGCTTTAGAGCTGGAGACTACTCTTAAAGTGATATTAAACCTACTTTTTTCTGTATGTGGAGGCCAGACAAATACTATTTTTCTTAAAATTTTTCTATTCCCTCATTCTCTGGTATCCAAACAGCCCCCCCCCCCTCCCCCTCCCCCCATACGGGTGCCTCCATCAGCTAGCCGGCAGCTATGGAGGCACCCAGCTGTGTGCGCCTCCCATCCATGCCCCCACTCTTGAAGTCAGTTTGACTGACAGCAGAAGGAACCTATGACTCCTCTGCCCTCAGTACCCTCCTCCACAACCAGGAAGCTCGGGGAAAGCAGAGTATCTTCCTGGTCGCTGTGGGTGGGACGAGGGTTTAGAAATGAACTGAGTGTTTTTTTTATAACCTTAATGCAGAGAATGCATTAAGGTATAAAACACTATGGGGGAGGGGATTTATCAGAATCTAGAGCAGTTGCCCATGGCAACCAATCAGCTTCTCTCTTCAGTTTTGTTCACTTAAGATTTGAAAATGAAAGAGAGAAGCTGATTGGTTGTCACTCACAGCTGCTTCAGATTTTGTCTGCTCCAGTTTTGACGAATTCCCCTCTATGCCTTTAGTACCACTTTAAAGGAGAACTATGGGGTTAAGGCTTTTCCCCATAGTTCTCCTTAGGGTAACGGGAGGACACAAACTAGCGTCCTCCCGTCACCCTAGGCTCAGTATACCGCGAGCTGTAGCTCGTGGTATACTGAGATGCCGCAGCTGAAGCGGATCCCGACAATTATGCCGGGATCCGCCCAGCTGCGTGACTGACAGCTGGCTCTGCCTATCTAGAGGCAGAGCCAGCTGTACCGGCCCCCTCCCCCATCCGTTCCGCCAGTCAGCGCTGGCGGAGGGGGGAATCCAGCCCCTCCACTGTCACGGCAGAGAGCCGTGACAGGATCGAGAGGTGAGCGAACGCCTGTATGTGTTCCCTCACCTCCCGATCTACTGAGCCGACCTGTGACAGTCTCATTGTCACAGGTCGGCTAGAACTATGAGGTGAGTGAAAAGCACTCGCCTCATAGTTCTCTATTGTCTGTCTGGCTTGTCATGGTATCTTTATTTGCATATTGTGGATCTTTTGGGGGTATACAACAATATAGTCACAGCTTTAGCATGCAAATGTTTGGTTTTGGCTGAATATAGAGTACCTCTTTAATAATGGGCTCAAACCTGGCAGATTTTTAGGTAAAGTCCGCTGAAATCTGTAGAATACATGAAAAACTGTAAACAGCAGAAGAATCTGAAAGTATGGCATTAAATTGACAAACTGATCCATCAAGTAAAGCCTTGAAATTAAGTGCAAAATCATTAAAACCATAAGAAATATCTGCCCACTTTGCCCTTTCATAAATATCCCTGTGTGTTTTATTTCATCTCACAACTACAATACAAGGCAACTGTGATCGATATATTTTTCTCCATGTTGATGATTTTGTCCCTTTAGGATGATAATTGCATAGTTGAGAGAATGTCTTGTAAGTGCGTTGTGTACATTGTTTGACTTGCATATATCCTCTGCTGCCATTATCATTTGCTGTGCGTGGAACATTTCTAGACACCGCTCATGGGAAACTAGCTTCAGATCTTCTGATACAGGTTGCTGGTGTCTGAATATATTTATTACTACGTCTGTTTCCTATGTATGCTTGTGCAGCTGTTCAGCAGCAAGTCATTGCAGACTGGCCTGAAGGTGGCTGACTTGATTACAAAGCTATTAATAGAGATGACCGTGCAAGCTCTCCTACTCTGACACTGGATAGTACTTTGTAAGTGATCTCTTCGTCTGTTTCAGATTTTGATTCCTCCAAAGGGATTACTCCCCAAGCTGAAGAAAGAAGCTGAGAACCCCACGGAGGTTTTAGACCAGGTAAGTGTCCAGGTCTTGTTTGGCTGCAGTTTTATATTAACGATTATAAATGCAAACGACATGCTTCTAAATTAAACTACATTCTTCTTCTTCCTTTTTTTTTTTTTAATGTGTTTTAGCTGATCAGTCTCTCTGGAACAGTTTTGTTGAACTATACGTTACTCTAAAGTATTTCACTTTATGTAAAAGAGTATCTTTTGAAACCCATATCTCTTATATATTTGATCAATTTAGCATTGGGTTTACTGTTATGAGGCAAGATACAGTCTGTTTTTATTAGCCAGTTTGATTGAAGAATTGTGTTCTTCAAAGTTATTGGCAGAAAAGCAACTGGAATTTGTGTGTGTATATACAGTGTATTCTTAAAGGAGAACTATGAGATGAGTGATTTCCACTCACCTCATAGTTCTAAGCCGACCTGTGACAATGAGACTGTCACAGGTCGGCTCAGTAGATCGGGAGGTGAGGGAACACATACCGGGTTCCCTCACCTCTCGATCCTGTCACGGCTCTCTGCCGTGACAGGGGGAGGGGCTGGATTCCCCTCTCCCCGCTCCCGATCTGCCAGCGCTGACTGGCGGAGCGGACGGGGGAGGGGGCGGGTACAGCTGGCTCAAGGAGAACTATGGGGGGTTTTTCCCCATAGTTCTCCTTTAAATGGCAGATGATATAACACACATTTTGTTTTGAATCCGTAACCTTTGAAGTTATTAAACTCCTGTTTGAGAGAAATCGTGAAGCAGGCCCTGGTGTATTTTCAAACTATTGGCCTTCGTATTCTTATTTGGGCAACTCATTAATCAAATGCATTTTGTTGCATTGTTATATTTGCTTTTGGCTCTACCATGCTTACTTTGTAATGGAAACGGTCTGTGAAGCAGTTTGAAGTAGGGATGCACTGAAATTTCGCCCGCTGAAAATGGCACTTTTGGCAAAATGCCGAAAGTGCCATCTTTCAGCCGAAATTGCAGTTCATGCCTGGTGTCCCCTCTAACACAGTGCAGCGTCCAGCAGGGAGGAGAGAAACTGTCACAGGAGGCAGAGCCTTGCGGGGTAGGAGAGTGATGTGAGCGGCTGGTGTGTCACAAAAGGCCGGGTTCTCCTCCTGCACCGCCCCCCTCAGCCTCCTGTGACAGATCAGGAGAGTGGTGTGGGGCGGAGACAGCTGTCACAAGAGGCTGGTGGTGTAGGGGAGGAGTCGACTGTCAGAGGAGATCGAGCTCTCCTCCCTGCACCGCTCGCTCAGCCTCCTGTGACAGCAAGTCAGGATGGAGAGGAGGTACATGCAGTCAGCGATCAGTGATCGCTGAGTGTTTGTAGATAATTGAGGACATAGTATGGTTACTGTGTCCCCAATTATGAATGAATGGGAGGTGATCTACATCACCTCCCGTTCATCTATGACTGTGGACATGGTAAAAATACTATCTCCACAAGTTATGAATGAACAGGAACACTCAGTATAGAGGATTCCTGTTCATTGATAACGGTCTGCAGAAAAAGAGAATGAGGACTGGGTGTTCTCAATCTCTTTTTCTATTTTAAAAGGGAAATATCAGGGGTCTGTTTTAGACCTGTTTTTCCCCGAAGCCTCCAACAGTAAAGTAAAAATAAAATGTAAAAAAATTAAAATATATAAAAAAAATAAAATATTTTAAAAGGCCTGATATTTTTTGTATTTTCGGTTTTGTTTCGGGTTTTAAAAAAAATGTTGTTTCGGTGCACCTCCTAGTTTGAAGGCTTTGAGTTGCCAAACTGATAATTGGAACATTGCTTAAAATCTCAATCTTTTTGTGTAGGTGCGTTATCGTGTGGAGTGGGCTAAATTTCAGGAAAGGGAGAGGAAAAAAGAGGAAGAGGAGAAAGAGCGAGAACGTGTGGCCTATGCACAAATTGATTGGCATGACTTTGTGGTAGTGGAAACAGTTGACTTCCAGCCTAATGAACAAGGTAAGAATTGAATGGGATTGATTATTCTATCCCTTTGGTAAAATCTGAGTTTTATAACCCCTCACTTCCCAACAGTTGTTCCCCTTACAAAAATTTGAATAGTGATTCATTTAGTGTATCTATACTAGTTTTAAAAACTAAAACTTAAGGAATGCTTTGAAAGGATGTGGAGAAAAACTCAAAAGTGATCGAAATACCCTATTACACGGGTGTCCCCAATAGGAAGATTTCCTTTTAATCCTTCAATCACAACTAATACAATCTTTCCTCACTTTCTGCCATGGGGACTAGGTCATTAGGGCAAATAGAAAGGGTTGGTCTCCCCAACAGGGCACAGACTGTAATAAAAACATGACTGGACCTTTAGGCATTTCTTACTCTGGTTAATTATTTTCTAGTTTTGAATAATCTATGGTAGTATATTTGATACCATTGCATTTCTAAACGATGGAAGCTGCCTGTACCGCTCATCCCAAGACCTCCTGCTTTCCAGCTCCCTTGTCAACTCCTCCCATGCTCGCCTCCAGGGGGCGCGAACAGGATCGCCGCCGATTCTAGCTTCATACAAGTGATCTCATTAGATCACTTGTATGAAAACGATCGGCGGCTCCACAATATACATTTATCTCTACTTGTCCGGAGCTGGGCTAAATGTATTTAAAAAGTCGCCCGGCGCCCGAAACTGCATGTCCCGGGCGTTGGGAGATAGGAATTCAACACCCCTGCTTCCCTATATTGTAAAGCGCTGCGCAAACTGTTGGCGCTATATAAATCCCGTATAATAATAATAATACCACCTAAAGTAAAGTATTTTGATTTAATTGTCCATAGCTTATTTTTTTTATATATAATCTCAAAATCTGTTGTGCTAACAAACTCCACACCATACTATATATAAAAGAGATAAAGTGCATAAACCCTATATGTATGAAATCATGTGTTTACAAATATACAATACTATATACCCTCATAGAAAAAAAATGGTTAAATGTATAAACAGTGTCTCTTTTTATAATACGAATACTTCTATATATTGGTGGTCTCTTCACTTCAAAAATGTGCTCTTTTGTATTGAAAACGTGTAAAAACTACACACATCACTATAATAATCGCTAAAACAAATAGATCCAGTGATTTATGGCTCAACCTGACAGGTTTCATCAAAGTATTATTACAAAGTATTTACATAGCGCCAACAGTTTGCGCAGCAAAAAGTATTCACTTTTTCAAAGGCATGTGGTCGGATCATGGCAATACAATCTGATCTGCCTGACTTTTCTACCACTGACAATATCTACTAGTGACTTTACCATGGTTGCATTGATTTCACATTTTTTTAAATCAAATCTTGAGAATTTGTAAAATCAACGGACTGGAGAGTTCTCATGCATGTGTTAATAAATAGGTAGGATAATATTTGTATATATAGAACAGTATTTTTCTTTTTTAGTTATGGTACCCTTTAAAGT